CCCATTTATACTGCACAACGCTTCGAGCGTTCTGCATTTCTGAAGCTCAGCCCCTGTCAAATATGACCTCACACCCACGACTCCATCTGCTCGCGATCACCAATATGCAGCGTCAAGGCTGTTATGTAGATTAGGTCCGTTTGTTCAGGGCTGCCGTCCGAAGCCTGCCAACATCACATGAATCACATGTGTGAAGATGTGTGAAGTAGTCCACCAAACTTAGCAAGGTGGTTAAAGGAGTGGCTCTCTGGCAAAACTCACGAAGCCTTGAGCCGTGGTCCCGTTGCACACGCTCGCGCTGCCCACCCTTCCGAGGCTCTCAAATTGGAGGGCCGGGAATGACAGTGCACGCCCCTGCAAGCCGGGTTGACGGCTTTAGTGCAGCGCGGTCCCAGTGCCATTTTCCAGCTCCATGCCATTCTCAAGTTCCTGCAGTCAGGCCATCATGTACTTCTCCTCCCGAGAATGCAGCATTTGTCCACACACGCGTGCAGTGGTTCCACTCGAGTTGCTAACTATCCGACACACCTTCATGGTTTCAAGTTTTAGCTTTGCAATCGGTCATGCCGGCAGGCCTAGAAACATCACTGGCTGCGGTACGTGGAGACCTTGAACAGCGGACCAGCAAACATGCCGCCAGCTCAGTGTGCTCAAGTTTCATGGAAATGTGGTTGACGTTCGGATGGACTCCTGTGTTCGGTCTATCTTTGCAGCATCCGTCCTTTCCAGGGCACAATGGAGGAGCACATTGCAGGCAACCGATTGGTTTTAAGATTGTTGTGAGTTGGAAGTGACCCATGCCGTTGCAAAATGGGGTTGGCTCCAGGTCTACACAAGCAGCTTGAGACGGTGCTTGCAGAGAAGGTGCCACTGCCATACGGTTGTTGGCATGTCTTGTCGTCACGCTGTAGACAGGTAAAGGCGGAGGGCCTCATCAGCAGTCAGCACGTGAGTGCCTCAAGACGTTGAGACCGCGTGCTTTCAGCATCGCTTTCTCAACAACGGTGCCTGCGAGCTAGCTTCGAGATGGTGAGATCTGATTGTGCATTGGGCCTAGCAATGAATGACAAGATATTGGGAAGATGCTGGAGAAGCCTGCTTGCTTGCGTTGACATGTGAGCAACATGGTCTTGTTCTGAGCCCACGCCGAATCGCAGAAAACTTCCAGAATCTGCTCCGCTCTCCACCCGGTTACAGTTCAAAACATGAAGCTCACACGACGAGGTTGAGATCCTCCGACTTCACGACCTTCACGATGAATTACTTTCTGAAAAGGCCATTCAAAGAATTGCTGAAGCATAGTGGCATAGTGGCGATTTGATTCTTGAGTCTCTTGTCAGCAGGCACGTGGCCAAGCTTTGAGCCAAAAGTTGGAGACATGTGAGGCGGAACTGTCTCGCTCGAAGAAGGACAGGCTGAGGCAGTCGGAGTCCATTGTCATGGTGGTTGGTGGCCGTTGTGTGCTTGCTTGCGGGACTGAAAAAGGAGAAAGCTGCACTTGACCACGTGGTCAGTTCGTTGCGACCTTTGTCTTTACACCTTCAATGTATGTTGACTCGCACATGTCTATGTACTTGTAAATTGAATCCAGGTTGCATGTGGATTGTGCACACATGCGAACGCAGCGAGATTCTGCCTTGGCAGAGGTGGCGAATTGCAATTACGAATATTTTATGTGGGTATGCTTGCCATGCTGCAGGTACCACACTTGAAATCGTCCCTGCAACAGCAAGATGTACTGATGAAGGATTTGGAGAACCAGGCTCGCGCTGATAGAGGACTTCGCTTTAGGTCCTTTAGGTCTGGTGAGTACCGCAGTCAACAGTCTTCTTTGCGTTTGCTATACTTCGTTGCTGCCTCATCTACAGGTGACGGTGTTGCAGCAGCAACTGCAGGGCAGCAAGGATACCAACGGAAGGGTGGATCAAGAGGAGCTGCATTCGTGTTTTGTAGTGGATGTTTTGATCTTGACCGTCTTTGCCGGAATGCTTTGGTCAAACTTTCGAGGCAAAACGTCTTGCATTCGCACTGGACAGATCGCGGGAAGATGGGGCTCGTCACGAGCAGGCTGCAAGATACTAGCGCGTACCTTTTATGTCAAGTGTCGTGTGCAGTCGGTCACGTGACGGTTGCAGGTTGCACTGGGGCTTCGTGTGGAGCGGGCAAGACTGGTTGAGGCACTTCGTTGTACGCTTTGATCCTCAGCCCTTTTCTCGGCTCTTTGTCCACATTCAGGCGCTGGAAAGACTGCGGCGCGGCAAGGTGCAGGGTTCTGCTGGGGCATAGGGGCCGAGCAGGGGGAGACAGCTTGGGCACATTAAGAAAATATTGGCACAAATCTGGATACTCTTGGAGGCAGAAAGTGATCTGCGAGCCTCAGCATCAGCTAGCGATCATGGGCTATTGCAGGCAGGGCCCAGGGCCTTTTGCAGTCAAGTGTCGACAGTTCTGCCTTCGTTTGCAAATCTGAAAATTTTCATCAAACAACTCAGGCACACGTCGAACAAATCGTTGCTGAGCGTGAGCAGCTGTGGGACTCTTGCACGACTCGCATGTTGCAAGAGGTGATGGCACTGTGGTGTTGTTGTTGCTGTTGTTGCCTCTTCTGAGGCAGCTCCAGCTTCACCAAGCAACATCAGATTCCTCCGCTATCAGGAGAATTTTTATCATATGTCATATAGAGTTTCCTCTTTGCATTGGCGGACACTGCTTAATCTTCTTTGGTCTGGAAGGAGTCGTTTGGCAGGTCTTGAGCAGATGGTATGCGACTCAGACTTGGCTTATAGGAGATCGCACAGGTCGCACCGTCATGAAGCATCATGAAGCTATGGCCAGGTCGTTGACTCATGACAGGCATGCTTCATGCTGCTACACGCTGCGCCAAAGCTGTCTCTAGGTGCAGGCATATGCCGACGAGTCCTCTGCCCTGCAGCAGAAGGCAACAAGCTGTTCTCAGCATGGCTTGATGATGTCCATAGGCAACCCCCCCGGCCCGAACCGCTTCGGGAAGAATGTTGCTTGGTGGTTTGGTGGAAGCCTTATTGTTCCTGGATCACTTGGGTCAAACCCCCGTCGATAAGGGCACTCCGCCAATCTCCGCCAGTTCTGTGGTGGTGGAATAACCTTAACGCTAACGCGCCCTCGCCTCAGCGCCGCGACTCTTGCCCACCGTACAGCAAGGCAGAGTCGCCTGCGCCAACTGAACACCTTGCAATGTGGACACTCACGCTTCCAGACCTCCGCTCAGAACCACAATCCTCTACACGGGACATGATGAATCAGGGGGACCACTCCGCCAGTCCTTGGGCGGTCCGCAAGAGCTCTGCTTTACAGGGCATCCAAGGCATCGGGGGTCGACAGGACACACTGTTTTCTTGTTTTAGCGTGAAGAAGCTCTCTCCCTCGCGTCGCTGTTGTCGCTGTTGTCGCTGTTGTCGCTGGTGTCGCTGTTGACCAAACAAACGTTGGGCAGGAGGGTCCAACTTTGCAAGCAGCAATATCATCTGGCGTACATGAAACAGGCAACATCAGGCAACAAGGGACAAGCTTCCCCGACTCTCCTCCTCCATCCGTGCTCGTTGTGCTGCCTTGTCAGTGTCCTCCGCCTTCTTCGTTGACAGTGCAAGAATACAGCAGTCACCGCTCGAGCCATGCGTCCACAGAGAAGGAGGCACATCGGACCCGATCACTTTTATCTGCTTCCGAAGCCATAAGACCTTGCAGGAATGCAAGTTTTTCGAGACAGCTGGAGACTAGTGAGGAACTGATGGAAGGAAAAAGGACGGCGTGTGCGGCGTGTCAACTAGCACATCTCCCATTTGTTGGAAACCCAAGGGATTGAGCAGCCAGAATTTGCAGTTCATTTTGCACTGGCGGAAGCAAAGCAGCTTCGAAGTTGCTTGGAGGTTTCCTTTTTGCAAGATGAGAAGGTGCGCCGCAAAGCGTAGATGCTGTCAGTACCAAAGTGTGCGTGAGTGGTCGGTTGTGAGCATTGCTCTGATCGCAGCGAAGTGTTGCGAGAGGCGGCGTTGCAAGAGAAGTTGGAGGTGACACACGCGGCGAGAAGCCCCGAGAGAAATTCGATTCAGCGAGGGCCTCATGCTTCGTGACTTGTGGCATTTCAGTCGCCCTTGAGCCCACATGTGCGTTCACAAAGTTTGGTTGTGAGTTTGTTCAAGCGCTGTTAATGTACTGGGGTGTTTGTGGTTCCATACGTTTCTTGCAGTAGGAACGGTGCACTTGAAGGGCGCTTCAAAGCCAGCGTAGCTGAGTTTTTCACTAGTTCTCATCGTGTCGGTCAAGAGAGAGGCTTGGCGGCGCACGCTTATTAACATGTCAAAGGCTGTCCTGTCCCGAACTCTGGGTGTTGGCAACACTGGGTCTCACAATTGTTTATGTGTCGCTCTTGAGCGAGTAAACTCTCCAATTTTAATCAACTCGATTCCTAAGGGTCCACATTTGCAGGCTTTCGAGAATTTGACGTCACGCATTTTAGCACTGTTGGATCTATTGGCTTTCGCTTCTTCCATGCCGTCCGGACAGATGTTCGGGTTGAGGCAGGTCGTGTTGGGTTATTGTCGAATGCCGTTTTGACTTTGCCACGAGGACAAACAGAAAGCGTGGCTTTGAATGCCTTCAGTCGTGCGCAGCAGAGTGCGATGCAGGGCTGGATCGCAGGGATGGGCACTCTGAGCAGCGAGCATTGTGTGAGCATTGCGCTAGCACGTGTCCGGGACTTCTTTGTTTCACCGTATGGACCACGGGGCTATGCGCTGAAGGTTCGCTTTCAGTTTTCCCATTCGGACAAGTCTCGTGTCCAAGCTATGCGCATGCTAGGTCTATGCAGGAACAATGGTGCAGGTCGAAACAGCGAAAGAACAAAGCCCCCTGTTTTGCTTGCATCTTTCGCGAATGGAAGCAGCAACGGTGTCCGTTTCATGGCAGTGCTGCCTGGCTCGAGCTTCATGGCGCGGCATTGCCTGCCTGCGGTTTCTTCAGGCATGGCGCACGGGCTGCAAAGGCCTGCCAGCCTGCCATTCGACTCGTACCTGATCGTTTCAACAGCCGTGTGTCCCTGTGAATGTGCTGCAGTGCTGGAGCATGAATCGCAGATTCCTTGGTCCAGAGGTGTTTCAAGCCCGGCAGCCTTGTGGCCATAACGTTGCTTCTAGCCACCCGCCGATAATGCAACAGAATGATGCAGAATATGAAGCCCACTGCACAAACGATACTGGCGCCATAGCCTTTGCACTTTGCGCGCTTCCTGTAACTTAGGTTAGCCTGCAGTGCCGATGGCCAAATTTTACGGCTGGGCGATCAGCCAGCAGGCCTTTGCGGCATACTGTGATCAACAAAAGCCATGGATGGTCTGCTTGAAGGAGTAGCTCTAGTCAACTGGTTGACTGGAGATGGCAGCCCTATGCTGGAGCCTTTCTGTGAATGCATGTGAATGTCAAACGTACCCTGTAATGCTGTTGGACGACAAAACTGAGGCGCGTGGGCAACATCTGGCAATGAGACTGGGTCCTGGTGGTGGCTCTGATCCGGTGCGCCATCGAAGAATCACGAGGCTTGTTCAGCGGTTGTGTTTGCGCGCTGTGCCAGGTCAACAACGTTTCGCCTGAGATGGCAGCCGCTGGCCGCAAATATGCTCAGAAGTACGAGGTTGGGTTGCGCCTTGCAGAAGTCGGCATTAGATGCACGTGAATGTTCTTTGTTTTGCATTGTTCCAACTGTTCAGGACATCCTGTTGGCTGGACGGAAGGTATGGCAAGAGATGCTAAAGCGGGATGAGGTCATTCATGGCTTTTGTTCGGCATCGAATGTGACCTTTTTCTTCTTTTGCTTGCAGAGGTTCCAAAGAAGATCTACTTCATTGGTACAAACGGCAACTCAGGAGCCACCGGGGTTGACAGCGCGAGTAAGCGATGAGCCCATGAAGCCAGTTGCGTGAAGGCGACATGGTTGCAGAAGCCTTGATGGATGCTCTGGCGCCGGAAGCCCGGAAGTAGTGCCATGTCGATCTGTGAGTTTGTGATTGTGCCTAGGTATGTCCAAGCTCCCGATGGAACTCTCTTCTTGCGTAGAAAGCTCAACCGGCCTAAGTTATTCTGAACGCACGTTTCTCAGCGTGGCTTTGGAGTCTCCATTGCCAGACCTGGGCTCGAGTACCCGAAGCTGAAATACTTCCTCTTGAATTCCGACAAGCAGGTGCTTTCCGAGCGTAGCCTGGCTATGCCGGCGATTGTATGTGCGATTCTTTCTGCTTGGACCACTCTTCAGCAGTTCCCCAAGATGTACCAGTTTCGCCCTGGCGAGTTGGCAGCTAAAGCTCCAAAATCGGCAGTGGACTTGTACATGGAGGATGAGAAGGCTTGGAGAGTTTTGGAGAAGAAATGAATGGAAGCAACAGTGTTCCAACAATGCAAAATGCTTCTTGCATGTTGTCTGGATGCCGTGTGCCAGAAATATCGTGAGCTGGAGACAGAAGTCCTGAAAGAGTTTCAAGAACTGGTGCGAGCTTCAGAACTTGTGGTCTGACAGCACGTGACACTGTTTGGCACTGTGCAGAGTGGCGTAGCGGCTTTGCAGTTCCCGCTGAAAGGACGCAGGTGAGAACCCTGCCGGCATCGTTGTCGGTGAGAGTGCAGTCAGCATACCCGAGAACGTTCCGGCCCTACGTTGTCCTGATTCCTTGCGATTGAATCTTCTGCAATGTTTCACATGTTTCACAGCGGTGGTCTTCGCGGACCGTTGCAAGTCTTTTGCAGGTTGAGATCATGAAAACAGGATTGGTGATCTGGTTGGACGTGTCGCCAGAGTTCAGCTGGAGCTCCCGTCGTCTGCACCTCTTTTATCAGACGTTGGGAAGCCTTAACGGCATTTAACGGCCTAAGCCAGAGGAGCAAGACTCAGATGAGAGCCAAAGCTGGCGGTGGCCTTTTCATCCCATACGAGATCATCAGGTGCCCGGACTTGTCTGATTACACCATTCCATGTCGTTGCATGTCATTGCATGTCATTCCGTATCCTTGCATGTCATTCCATGTAGTTCCGCTTTTTGATGCTTCAGCGTACTGAGGAATCGTTGTGGAACCGTTTCGGAATCGTTGTGGAATCATTGCAGAGCCATTGTCGAGGCCGCCGGTTTGGTGCATTGCGAACGGCTGGGATGGTGACATCGATGATGGGGAGGCGCGCTCTGGACGGCCTTTCACAAGCAAAACTAGGGCTTTCGAGATGTAGAGTTTCTTCGGAGGCAAAAGCAGAGTACATCGAGATGGTTGAGAAGTATGCTGAGAAGTACGAGGAAATCGCTGATCTCCGTCTTCGAGCAGAGCATTGGGCTGCATTGGGTGAACCAAAGTAAAAGAGGAGCATGAATCGGCGTGAATCTGTTGTACGTCTCTGGAGCTTGGCGGACGTATTCTGGACCAGCTAGATTGGGTACTGTTCAGCTAAAGAAGTTGGATGTCGCGAGCAATCATGTGTTAATGCAAA